GCGCATGCAGAGCATATCCCTTTAATCTAAGCTCTGTTCTTAATCTGAAGTCAGGAGGAGGAATCACATATATATTCGCTTGTTCCTTTCACTCTCCCTTCTTGGTGCTCCGCACAAGAAAGGGAGAGAGTGAGAAATTATCAATGTATGCTAAAGGATGTTAAGCAGAAAATCCTGGGAGTTGTAAAGATGTCAGAAAACATTTTTCCCTGTTGGCTCCAAATCCTCTAATTTTAGTTGCTAATTAGGCTTCCTCTGCAGCCTGCAGGAAAATGGCCATGGCAGCGGGAGGTATTTACTGGTGGTAACTTTTAATTCTTCTCTGTTACAGGGACATAAGAGGAAAAATTGGAAGGTGAGGAGATTTGTTTTGAGAGCTGATCCTGCTTTCTTGCACTACTACGACCCCACAAAGGTATGTGAGTGGGGAGCTGGCAGCCTCAAAAACCCTCTTACAGAGGGTATAGTAATAGTAATAATAATAATAATAAGCAGTTAGGCCATAAATGTTGTTTCTCTCACCTAAATCTTCTTTTGGGTTCCTCTGTCCATTCCTGGGGAACAGGACCTTTCTGGCCTTACCCTGGGAGGTTGTCCCTGTACGATTTTTCTCTCCCTGTGTCTTCCAGCCTGTCTTTTCCCCACTGAGCTCCTTCTCCCATAGGTGTGGGGCAGTGATCTCCTTGGGATTACTCTTGCTGTGCCCACGCAGCCGGGGTCCATGCTCCTTCAGGGATTCTTCCTGGCCTGTGGTCTTTCAGGGCTGACATCTCACCTTTTGGGCTCTGCACTGCTACTGGGATTTTCTGCTTTCTTATTCCAATGCTGAATAGGTCTTCCTTGATCCCAAAGTGTTTATGGGAATTTCTAATACTCAGTGCTAAACTTGCTCAGGGAATACTAGAATTTATCTTCCTGGACACAACCACCAATGAGAGCGAGCCAGAAGGGCATGGGGAGTCATCAGGCCCAGATGCACAGGGTACCGCGAACCCCAACAGGTTACTGAGTGGACCATGTGTAGGAATGCTTTATGTGACTTTTCAAGAAAACACAAACTGCAGGACAGTGAAAAGAGCTTGTAGAACTGTTTCGTTTTTTCTTGACGGTTTCTTTGTGGGGCTTTTTGCATTGCAGCTCTCCCTTGCAATGCTATAAACTCAAACTGCAGAGCCTGGAGATCAGGTAAGCAAGCTAACCTGCTAGTGAAAATGGTCAGATTTTTCCCAGGCAGACTCAGTGAAAAGTGGCAAGCTAAGAACTGGCAGAAGTGTTTTTTAAAAATATGTTATTGATAAAACAGTATATAGGTTTTAAGTACATAATTTTTCTACTACCTTTGCGCTTTTAATTGATCTCCACCATTCCCAGCCCTATCAAAGAAATCGCTGAGACTGAACGAAAATAATAATGAATTCAATCACATGTCCTAGTTGACTTCTCATGTGACTTGGACGTTTTAGATCCAGAAGGACTGGCATTACCTCTCCACTTTCACAAAAAACAATTGCTCTGCCCAGGAAAATAATTCTAATTTTTCCAGATAAGCCTTATTTCCATTTTATCTGCAGGAAGAAAACAGGCCAGTAGGTGGATTTTCTCTTCGTGGCTGCCTTGTCTCAGCTCTGGAGGACAATGGAGTCCCAACAGGTAAGCATGAGCCTCCAAACGAATTTACACTCTAGCAATATAGTTTTTGGGGGTGGGATTGCATGCATGGCTGTCTGGGTACACAAGTGGGCTGGCCCTTCCTTTCACATGGCAAGCAAGGGAGGAGGCAGGTCATTGAAAAGCCCCATACCCCTGGGCTGTCCCATATCAGATGGGATTTTTCAGAGTTATTTCCACATATCCTCAGTGTTCCCCTTTTTATGGGCCCTTCTCAGTCAGGTGACCTCTGAGACTATCTCAAGACACTGATTAATGTTACAGAGTTAACAGTCAAAGAGGAAATGTCTCGGATTGGGATATTTTTGAACCTAACGTCCAGAGGCATCCCCTGATGCCATCCCTTTTTGTCTGTTCTCTCAAATTATGCCATCACCTTTTTGTTTTTGATCTGTACAATCCAAACATAGGGGAGATTTAAAAGCAACAGTACAAAAACAGTTTTGCTAGTGCATGTGCTTGGCTTAAACATTTGTCTGGAACCTCAGCCTCACAAATAAGTGTTTTTGCTGTTAACCTATTTTATTATAGTAAGCACAATGCGTGGATCTTGAATAAGGAGCATCCTTCTAAAGACTTCAAGATTTGGTTTCCTTTTCCCCTTCCTAAGCAATAAATCTCCCCACAAAAGACACAGCCTGAAAAAGATATGGGAGTGGGGGTGGAGGGGGAGAGAGATCACACAGTGATGGGCAATACAACTCTCTGCTAACGGAGCCTCAAGATGGGTAGGAGCAAGTCTAATCTACTGCAAAATCTGGTAAGGAGTTCATCTCTCCGCTGTATGACTCCAGTAAGATTCCCTACCTAAAGAGCATATGTTTCACATAGGGTACATAGCATGCAGTTCATCCAGTCTCTGGGAGAGGTGTCTATACTATGTCTTTATATTGCAGAAGGGGAGTCAAAGACACAGGGGTTTTACATGTCTTATCCATAATAAAACAGAGAGATCTAATACCTTTCTTTCACTACGTTAAAATTCCTCCCTAGGAAGCTTCATATCTGCTGAAAGCAGTCCTCTGTGCACTCTCCTGATCTGTCATATTTTTTTCTCTGCAGGAGTGAAGGGGAATGTGCAAGGCAACCTCTTCAAAATCATCACCAAAAAAGACATTCATTATTACATCCAGGCCAGCTCCAAAGCAGAGCGAGCACAATGGATTGAGGCGATCAAACCACTGACATGAATCAGGTGGACTCCATGCCAAATGGCAAGTCACATTTGTGACCAGGTTTCCTGCTCTCTTTGTCTGAGAGTGTTGTTTTTCCCTTAGATATTTTTGATATTTGTATTACCACAGCACAGAAGTCATGTAAATCCAGAATAAAAATTCACCACCAAGAATTTACCGTTGAACCAAGAGACAAGCGACAACAGGTTGATAGAGACAAATGGGGCTTTACAAGGAAACAATGAGATAGAATATTCCAAGATGGAAGAAAAAAATCCTTTTGTACAAGTATTCAGTTTATATCTGGCAGATCCAGATTGTGCTTTAACCTAAAGCAGAAAGGTCTTGTTCATCTCCCCTTTATAAAAGGGGCTCATAAACTTAATTAGTCCAGGCTGACTGAATCAAGGTGTGTGACCTGGGTCAGAGCTATGAAAGGTTCTGGTTTCTGAGGTTGCCTTTCTTGATATACCGTGAAAGTATCTTGTGCTAAGCCACAGTTTAGTTGCCAGGATAATCACTATTGCGAAACAAATCAGAGGTCTGTCCATCCATCTGCTCTAGTATTTGGTTCTCTGTCATGCTGGAAAAGGTCAGAGAGTCCTCCATTCAGATATCTAGTTTCTTTTTGTACTGGTAATGGCTCACAGCACTACATGACCCTGAGTGCTGCTCTATCAGATCAGACTAGTGGTAGTTATTCCAGACAATGGCTGGTGTTGAATACATTGGAACAAATCACTCAGCCATGAAAGCAAGAATTTTCCCTCTGATTATCACCATAAACCCATTCATGTGGTGCACCAGGGGGGACTGAGAGCTCTAATAGCAGTTTTGCCTATTGCTGTTTCAATTTTAAACCATTAAACTCTCCACTGTTTTTCTAGTAAACCTGACTCTGATATTATATTATTATTATTAAATGCTACAAAAATTCATTGCATTTGAATCTCCTATGCTTTTTTGACATGGTTTTTCTCAGAGGACAGCTTGGGGTACGTGAAAATAATGGTTTCATACACCTTTTAACTTAGATTAGTATGGAAACTCAGACATCTCCCACAGTGCCAGAGAACAGAGTGAAATTTAGTGAGATGATTAAAACACCCTTCCAGACTACCCATTTTTTTATAAAATTCCTCATGTTATCCGAGTACCTGTATATGACAGCCAACCTTTGCAGTCTCTCAAAGAAGCTCTCTGAAACCAGTATGCTATATATCTTCCCTGAAGTCACAGAAAAATTTGATAGTCCCCTAACCATAGAACAATTTTTTGCAGATTTGTTGTCCTCCAAGTTCTATACTCAAAAAAAGTCTCTTTATCTAGAGATTTCCCCCTTTTCCTGTTTTATAACCAACCACTAATAACAGAGCCAAAGCTAGCAGTTATGATACATATATATATGTACTACAATAGCTACATATTTGGGAATCTTTTGTAAATCTACAGCAACAATACATGAGCATAACACTCACATGCATTGAAATATTTAACAAATTTAATACAGAAGTTTGCCGGCAAAGATGCAGTTTTAATTAAGATGCAGGAACAGGCAACGCAGTTTTAGCTACAGATACCATTGCACAGGGCTGATCCAGAGAAGACTGTGAAATCCACAGCTGTTGAAACCTTTCAGTTCATGAGAACTCTACCTGCAAGAGACAGGGATGATGGTAAGGCATTTACTGCTCTGTACTGGGAAGTGCAGACGGCTTTGTGCTGCCTGATCAGAGCCTCCAGGAAGAACAATTCTCTTATAGTAATGGAAACCTTGTTGGGGCCTACCAGACTCCCTTACTCACTTACAAGGAAATCTCCAAGCTCTCTTCTCTCAATATCGCCACATGTATACTGCTCAGTTCTAGTCAAAAGAGTAACAGCCACACTATCTCAGAGGACTGAGCTCCACCAGCTGGCATGGGGGAGTTGGAGGGGTTCATAAGGATAGGAGATATTGCATAGCATCATAGTCTTAAGGTTGGGAGGCCAAGAGAATATCTCAGGAAAGCCATCTGATACACCTGGACCAGCCATATCCCTGCAATTGCTCAGTGTGTGTGAGAAAAAAGTGTATGTTTCAAACACATCAGCAAGTGAAACAGACACAGTCCCCATTCTCCAGAATCAACCAGGAGAGAAAGATAAAACATTTCCCAGGCAGGGGAAAGTACATTTGTCTTTGTCCCCTGATGATACTGAGGTCTTCTTTTTTATCAAGCCACTTTGGTAAGCTTGATGTCCCCTGTGATCTGTAAAGCTTTCACCAAGTTCAGGGCCTGAATGCGGTGAGTGAAGTCACAGAACTGCCGCCCATCAACCAAGACCCGTATTTGCTGGTGTTCACACAAGAGCTCCATCTGCAATGGAAGAACAACAAAGGTATCAGAGACCAGCGGCAGAGGTGATTTTGCTAGCATGGACTTAGAGCCCCACGTGATGAGGATATTGAAGCACAAGGTCTACAGATTCTTCTCTAACACCTTTAATTAAAAACTTACCTTCTGCTGTGATAATACTGTAAAACTCCTTACAGTGAATTCTCTCCGTGAAAACAGAGAAAGAAATGGTTCTCTCCCACCAGGGCTGTTGATGAAGCATGAATGTTGCTCTCAGTGCCATACTAGACTAGTATGCCAGGGTCGTTAATGTGGCAATTTCAACAGTTAGCAATTTGTTGTGATATACGCAGCCTTTCAGCCTTTCTCCCACCCCAATGATAGTACCCCCCCAAATTACCTTAAAAGTGTCACCTGCTGTAAATGGGAAGTAGGGAATATTTTTCTCTTCTCTTCCCCATTTCCCACCAATTCGTGCATTTCGGGTGATGGATTTGTCACTGAAGTTAACTGTAAATAACAGCCCAACATCTTTGTTTGCATCCACTGGATCACAGAGCAGAGTCACTGCAAAGCTGAAAAAACAGGTCAGTGACTGGGACTTTCAGAAATGTAAAAGGACAGGGGATGTATGGCAGATGCATAGGAAGCCTAGCAACCCCTGCTGTTTTGTTCTCAGATCAAAATACAGGACTTCTGCAAGGACTGTGCGCAGGTTTAGAAGCTGCAGAAAAGGATGGAAACCAGCTGTTCTTTGTTTCTCCTCCCGTTTCCAGGAGGATGCTACTGACTTCTGATTTTGCTTTCCTCTCTTGTGACTGAAACCAAGCAAATATTTGTGGGTGAGCCAGTTCCAGTTTGTATCACAGAGGAAGTAGTAAGAGAGGAAAACTCTTCCTCAGTGGAAGCATGGGAGTTGATAGCAGTAAATGCAAAAAATGTGATGATAGCAAAGTTGCTTTCATCTGGATTAAACACAGCAATGGGCCTACACCTGCTGCGCCAAAACCAGAGATTTGTGTTGTGTAAAGTTAAATAGTGTAGACTCTAGCATCCAGCAGACAACATAGACACACGTTCTGAATTGCATCTGCTCCTGAAAGAGCAATGCCATTCATGTATTTCCGACAGTTTTCACAAGACAAAGGCAAGGAGCAGAAAATGCTGCAACAGCAGCAGAGAGCCTGAAGAGTGAACTCTTTCTCGACCTTTAATCTCGCTCTAAAAGAAGGTAAATGAAACAGAGCCATAAATTATGAACCTGTGTGACTTTCTTCCTCCTGAAAGAGCACAGGCTCTCAAGAAATCTTCTGAATTTAAAAGGCAGGTATGCTACAGTGTATGAAGTGATTGAACCCTACAAAAGACCCTTCACCTACCTCTTTGGGTTGTAATGTACCATCCCTATGACAGTGATTTTCATGGCTGGTCTCAGTCCACCTTTAATTTCACCAACGTATTGCTCCACCTACAGGGAACAGTGAAAACAGTTTACAGCTTGGGTAAACTAGCTTTAACAACTGCTTTGGTTACCTCTTACAGCTCGATTTTATTGTTACATGTAGAAAAGGATAAAAAAATCTGCAATCCAAAGTACTTCTTACATTTTTAGTCCAACTTCCATCCATTCTGGTAACTGAGGTGAGATGGCTGACATAATCAAAATGACTGATAGCAATGTGATGACTAACTGATAGGACTGTCTGTCGACTGTGACGGGCAACAGCTGACTAAAGACTGACATGACTAAGATGACTGGCTGCTGTCTGTAATACAGGTGACTGATGTGCATGATTAATTAATGTGACAGCATGTCCCAGGTGGTTCTATAAACAGATACCACAAACTTAAGATGATTGGCAGCACTAGCTAAATTAAGAGTAAGTACTTCAAGCGCTGAGGCTGCTCAGGTAAATGAGATCAACCAGGTAAGTGAGGTGACCCACAGGCTTCAAGAGAGTGACAGCTAAGTGACACATCTCGGATGACCCAGTGACTGCTATTATGGCCTAAGGACAATATATCTGGTCGTAACGCTCCAGATCAAGCAGATCAAAAGAGAGCAGATCAAAAGCTTTGTGGCAGCCTGACGCAGAGCACAGATCATGTATAAACTTACTCTGCCGACTCAAATTTGTCAACAAATTTTCATCGATTAACTCGATGTTAGCAGACGTTATACTGGGTAAGGTAGTGTCTGTCCTCTGGCATAAGAGCATGAAGCCAGCATAAACTCTGTAACGCAGCTAATTTGACAGAAATGAGATGGTGTGCTCACATCTGATTCCAATCAAATTTGTACTGGTGGGTGATCCGGTAACGTGCAGCTCCAGCGTTAACGACCACTGGACAGCAGGCCCAGGCTGCTTCTCTGTTGTGCCCCAAAAAATGCTTTGGCATGGAAACTTTGACCTTATGCAGACAAGAACACCAGTTTGGCTGAGGGCCCCATAGGCAGACTAATCAGGTGGAGGTTGATCTGGGTACACTTACAGTGCACATGATGGGTTGATATTTAATAGAGATCATTTCTATTGCCCACCTTTGGTTCACCCCTCTTCCTTATATTTAATCAGGAGTAATATTCCCGCTGTATATTTATCAGAGTTAGACTCTAATACAGTTCTAAGTAATGTTAAAAGCTGTCATTTTTTAAGACAGGTTAAAAGCTGTCATTTTTTAAGACTTCTCAGTAGGTCTACTTTTATTCTATTTACAGAGAACTGTAGTTGAAAACATAGACAAATAAAATAAAGAGCTTAGAAACAAGTGACAGGGATGTTTTGAGAATTCAATTTCATTAAACGATTTGATAATGAAAATGCCAAAGTACTAGGCTGCAGCATGTATACTCCAGGGGTATACTCACTTAGAAAGAAGTTGCTATAAAATGCTGAGCATTACTGGCACTTTACATTTGCAGTTTTCCAAGCCAATGCACAGCAGACACTATTTTAGCTAAAAGGTGCTTTATCTTTCCAGTGTTCCAAAGTAAAAATTCAGACATTCTTCACTAGAAGATCTGCACAAAATATATGATTAGTAGTTTGACTTTTAGAAACATTAAACGAGCTTGGAAACCCATGAACTTCTGCTCACAGCACTTCCATTCAAGTGTAATTTGCGATGAGTATTTCACACATTTTTTTAACTCAGATGATTGGAAGATGTGACAAATGTTAGCTTTTTTTTTTTTTGAAGCCATGCTTCATAAAAAGGAGAAAGCCTGTAAATTATTGAATGCCAGCTTGCTTAAAGGGCATGGAAATTACAGACGAAAAAGTCTCTCCTACTCTCCTATACCTTACTTTCTAATTTCAATATACTGGTTATAACTTCTGCTGAAAACACCTTAAATAACTATCTTCCCGCCTTGCTTTTTACATCCAGCAACCTTTACAGTGCTGCTGACATTAATAAACCTCTAATTCCTAAGAACGCAAATATAGGAAGAAATTAATGAAAAAATCCCTTCAAAACTACAGCAATACTACTAATTGCTAATACTCTTTCCTCTCGCAGAACTGGGCAGGTGACTCCAGCAGGTTTAGAAATTTGTAACAAAAGAAAAGCATCAGCCATCTAGGATGTCTTAGGTGAGGGAATGTCTTCTCAAGTAAGTAGTCTGACTCCAAGGAGATACTTAAAATTAAATTGCATAAAGCAATTAGAGAGGGGATAACAGGGCATAGACGATCACAGGCTAAACGAACTCCCTCACCATAGAGGTCTTGTCTCCCATCAGCCTTCCTCCCTTGCCTACTACACAAGAGACAAGATAGGAAATATCAATACCCAAACTTGAGAGCGAGGGTTGAGAAAACGTTTGCCCAGCCACCCACCACAGTAAGCATAGTCATTAAATGCATAAGGCATCGAACAGAGTTAAATTTGTGCAATGACAACTACGGTTTCAACACTTACGGTTCTTCCAGCATGGCTGAAATAAATTCAGAGGCACAATTATCTACATGCCACTTCTTGGCTGATTTTGAGTTGACGGTATAGAGGAAAGCTACTCCAGATGCTACAGGAGTTAAGGATAAAGTCCCTGCAGGTTCTTGTGCTGTTTATAGGTGGGTTGAGAAACTCCTGGCAGTTGTGTCTTTTTAATACACATAGGTGCATCGCCCCCTCCCCATATTTTCTATCTAAAAGCCCTCGGGTTTCATTCTTTCACTTACTGTGGCACACCTGTCATTCTCCGTCATCGTGTCTCTGCCTTACGCTTGCCTCCGCTGCAACAGTCCCAGGAGAGAGACGGTTTTTGTTAGGTGCGGGAGGAAAAAACCAAACAAAAAGCCCAGAATAAAGGAAGGATGTTGGGGGGGGAGGCCTTATCTCTGCCAAACACCAGCTGGACGCCACCCTGCCAAGCAGCTGAGTCACGGTCCTCTGCGCCTCCCTTTACCCCCTCAGTGGCAAAAGGAAGCAGAGAAATAAGAGGGGCCCCGGCGGTTTGTCGGCAGCGAGCGCCGGGTGCTGCCAGGCAGGCCCCGGCCGCCCAGGCCACCCCGGGGCTGCGTGCTCGCACGCCTGCTGGTCCTCACGCGTACCCCTCCTGCCGCCCCTCGACACCCGGCCTGCCACCGCCCCACCCTGGGCCCGATGCTGAGAGTAAACAGAAACGGGGCTGATCGGCAGGGTCTGCATGGAGAACCATGGCTTTCTGGCAAGTCTATACACACAAACCTACGTATAGTACGTTTATAACGTGTGTGTGTATGCATGTATAAAATACTGTACATTATACACATAAATAGGTAATTAAACTTTATTAAATATATTTTATAGTACTTACATCCTCTCTCAAAGGGAGAGGATATGCGCATATACGTACGCGCACGCCCTGCCCATACAGCTGTTCTCTCTACCTGGGTGTGTGTACATGTACGTATACCTATGTCAACGTCTATCACAGCCCCCTGGAGAGAGCAGTTAACTGCCGGCAGCCCACGCCCTGGCCCCCCCGCCCTACCCTCGTGACCCGCCGG